CCTCTTATGTGGACAACTAAACATGAATAAATATATAAAAATATTCCAGTTTAGGAGTGAAACAATGTTTAATTAAAGCAACATTTTGCTTTGAAGTGGGATGCTGTGGAAACATTTATGAATAATTAATATTTTACCTGTTGCAGATAGGTCTTTGATCAGCCTCATTTTGGAGACAAAGAAAAAAACAGAGTTTGGAGTTAATTTCTGAGCAGCTTGACGAGATAATGGCCAATCCAAAGAGGATTAAAACAATGTTTATCCCACTTAAACAGACCGAACTATCCCTGTAACGCATGTGGCACTAACCTCAATATATTATACAAAATACAGTAAGCACCAATAATTCATCAGATTTGACACAAAATACCCTGACTTTGTGAATACCAACCAAACCGTTTGGCCAAGTGCAGTGGAGAGAAAATGTGCGGGGCAGACAAGTTGGAATTTGTTGTTCCAGGCAGCCACAATGAAGCTGAGGCTAAGATGTTGTCTCTGTGAATGTGTGTGTGTGTGTGTGTCCCTGTGTGTGTGTTGGGGTGTTGCGTTACAGGAGCGAGGATGTAGATAAGCTGTCAGAGCCTGGAAAGCGACAACCCCAGCCGAAGAGCATATTCGACTTTGAGCCCATTCAAAGCAGCGCCTCAGAGAGCCACAGCCAGGTACGACCTCACATGCAGAGGGAGTTTTCACAAATACCTCCTTTAATTCCAGCAGAAAGTCTTTAAGCTGTAAATTCACCCGGAGTTGTTGCTGCTACTGATGGCTGGGATTCTTCGTGAAGCCTGCTTTTCCCTGTGAGGATGTCAGGAAGCAGTTGGGTCACCTTTTTTTTTTCTTTCTTTAAGGATTAAAGTCTGAGGGCTTGTGTTTCGTCTTCTCACGCAACGTGCCGGAGTCTCACAGTGTTTAGTCGGGGTTCCTTCCCAAAGCATGAGCTCACCTCTGAGAGTCAAAGGATTCTGTAGATTTTTATCATCCATCCAGACAGTCTGAGCGGTGTCTGACAGGTTGCTTCTTTAAGGGTGTTTGAAACACACTTCAAGATTAAGAAAAAAAAAAATCATTGTTTCCACCCCGCCTGATGGGAGCTGATGTGTCTTGTGATTTGTATTATGTTGTTAACCTCTTGGTGTGTAACATGCCTCCCAGCATAGGGACTTGCTTCGTTCTGCTCTTTACGACGGTTTAGAAAAGCAGGCCACACAGACCATATCAGGTGTTGTGCTGCTTCATTGCGACACTGTCTGCAGACGGGACGACTCCCAGCATCGGGGAGGCTTTGGCGTTCAGAGAGACACATTCGGCCAAGATTCTGTGAAAAGAAAAAAAAAGAAAGAAAAGGAAGCAGACGTCTGCAGTCTTCACCAACAGGGCCTTTTAAAGTAATGTTTGATAGAATCGCACACTGGTGGGGTCATTTTTCTGTAGAGAGTGAAAGAATTATTGCGGAGCTTATTAGAAAAACTTATGCTGGTTTATACCTCAGCAGTGTGCTTTGGCAGGCTTCAGCTATTGTTCTTTGATCTCTGCAGTTTGGTATTTCTACTATTCTTGAACGCAATATAATGATGAAGAAATTACTGTTTTGTTTTCAGTCTTACCCTGAAACTGATCCAAGCTACACTCTCTGTAGTTGATTAGTTTCTGATTTAGTCTCTACCAAAGACACAGTAGATGGAACTCATTTTCCAATGGGTTTGGTTCGACTTGTTCCAGATTTTGTTGTTCAAAGCTAAGATGGGACATCATGAAATTTGACAACATGAATTTGCACAGAAACACACAACCACCCATCCTGAAGTTTTGAGATTTCTGTTCCTCAACGATTTTCTGCCAGGCAAACTGCTTCAGCTACAGATTGGGTCTAAATTAATGCTTGGCCTGTTTTCTTCCTCTTTTCCAGAGCTTTTTATCTCCAAAAATCCAATTTGAGAAACCAAAGTCCCCTTCCATTGAGGTGAGCGACTACAACACACAATAATACAAAACATTTCTTAATCTTTTTAAGGTTAAAAGGGCCAATATGGTTCCAAAACTCAGCGTGTGTAGCGGTGTTTCATTCTTGTGTTCCAACACTGTAACTGCTGGGGATCAGGCCAGCCTGGTGTCCGAGCTGAGTCGCTTTGAGGCTGAGCTGGACTCGGAGATTCTGGGCCTGGAGAGGAGGCTTTCTCAGAAGAAGCAGCATCGAGGCCGGGGTGAGGTACTGAGCCCCCGCTACCGACTCTCTCTCTCTCTGCTGAAGCACCCTGTAACCCCCACCCCAACTTCTCCCCTCCACAGTCCAGATGAAAGCTGTGTCACTTTGCTTACAGTAGCTCTGACCTGGATGACCTGCCTGCCTTTCACTCAGACTGATCTGCTTTTCTTTTAATGCCTTACCTGCCAACAACCAACGTAGACCTGGCTGCCAAAAAAAAAAATCAATCAAAACCTATTCTTCCTCCAATCACAAACTTGCCACAAAGTCTCTGATTTCACTGGATCAGACTGTTTTTTGATGGGAAATCAGCCACAGCTCAGACAAATCCTGAGTGGTGCTGTTAAAGCCCGAGGAGGATAGGACCCAGGGGATTTCTCAGCTCGGCTGGGAGTGGTCAGCACCTCCACTTTGTCTGAGTTGTTGTGAGATTTCCTCTCTGAACTATGAGACACAACGAAGGCTGAGTGGGGCTGCAGAGAACAAACTGGGTTTGAAAGTCTTCCCTCTGCTTGCAGGAGGCCAGAGGCAGGGATCCAGATCCTGCTCCAAAGACCGGCTCTACCATCTACAGGTTAGTGACATGATCACAGTGCTGTCAGCTAAATGAGCCTGATTATCACAAGCACTGTGATACATGTACACAGATGTGCACACAGGCAGGAGCTTTCCTGGTTGAAGTACAGGAGAAGGAAAAGCTATAAATAAGGAAGACACCTTTGTGTTTATAAAAGCCTTATTTTAATACACCTGTTTACATTTTAATCCATGTTTGTTGATTTTATGATTTTACTATCATGAGATGCTTCTTTAAGAGTATTGTCTGGCTTTAAAATGTGATTCAAACTTATTGTCAGTCATATGGTAAAGAATGAAGACAAACCTTTTGTTTTTATGCCGTAATTATTGTCCTCTGAATGCAAAAAGAGGGAAATGTTTGTCCTTATTATGTTTATATGTTAATGTGTTGATAAAGCTCTCCCGGGCAGATGGGGACATTTTAATGAATCAGTAAATGTACATCTACAACTGATTAACTTCTGGAGTCAACCTGATTCAACATGGCTGTCAACCACACAAACAAGTCTTTAATTCAATCAGAATTACAGAAACTGAGCAAAACATTGGTGTGTTTACTTCAAAATTGTATCCAACATGTATTTTGAGCACTTACACACGCCTTTGTTTTAAAATGTTATTAACTATTAAAGTACACTCGGTCTGTCTGTTAGCAAAATTTCTCATGACTAACTGGGCAGAAGTTAATGAAACTCTTAGAGAATAATCACTGGATGCACCTTTACAATTGATCCACTTCTGGAGCTTATCCACTTCAAGCTGGCTGCAGCAGCCAGCTTACTATAGAAAACCCCAAAATGGGTATAACTCAGTCAGTTTCACAGGCAGTGTGCTGAAGTTTGGTGTGGTTGTAGCTGAAAGCCGATCACAGCACATACTCTGAGTGCTACATGTTGCTTAAGATCTTGGCTTAAAACTTTAGCTGTAAATGTTGGCGTCAGCCGTGTTTGTCTGTTAGCAAAATATCTTGTGAAAAACATGATAGATTTTAATGAAACATTCAGAAAGTAATTATTAGATATATAACTACTTCTGATTTATTTTTGGAGTTAGTCCATTTCCAGATGGCTGCCACAGTTATTCAACATTGGTTAACACAAAAAGGGTTATAAAGCAGTTAGTTTTACAGATTTCAAACTCAAACTTGACGTGGAAGTAGCTGAGAATTGTTCATAACAGACACCCTGAATCTGACATCTGACTGCAGCACTGAGACGGTTAAAAACACTCAGCTGTGACATCACGTCCCTGTTTCTGTTACAATGATGAGATTTCTGAAGGAGGTGGACAAGTACGAACGAACGTAGATGATGTCACCCTGTTAGCTATACCCATAAAGTTATTTTCACATCGTTTTTGAAAGAATCTCCACACGAGACTCCCTCTAAACGCAGCTGCCCCTCCTCCTAATCTGACGTTGCGTCATCGCTGTTACTGCAGTCCTGCTGCTTTAAGAATCCAAGTGTTATAACTGAACAGAACAACCTTTGATAACTGGCAAACTTAGATGATTACGTGACTTGTGTGAGCCTGGTGTTTGTGTGGGGAAGCTGGTATTTGAGCAAATCCAAGTTGTTGTTTTTTTGCGCAAAGTCCTTCAAACTTCAGACAGCAGCCCACATTTCTCACCTTGAGTGTAACACATTCCTGGAGGATTTATAATGCTGTTTGCTACACTGAGCTCATTGGACTATGACTTTTTTCTTTTTTTCCCCCCAAAATCCTGAACGGATTTCACTGAAGACGTGTAAATTTAAAACATACGACAACAATGCTGCCTCAAAGTATGGAAAACAAACCAGGAAGGCCGGGGGGGTCCTTTCTTCACTCATAAACAAACAGTTTCTCCATGTTTTCAGTGACTGATACACTCTCTGCTTTAGCTGTCTGACGATTTGTTTCATCTACTTCCAACGTATTAAAACCAGCTGTGAACAGATGAGCCACGCAGGAAACACGTCGTCTCCCAGCTGTTCTCAGCTGCGTGTTGTCATTAGAAACTCCTAGAGAAATAAAAAACTTACACGCCCCCTTCTTTTTTTTCTTCTTTTTCAGCTGCTTATCAGCATCGAAGCAGCCTGTTCAGCGTCCTGTTGGCTCGTCATCGACATCTGCTCCTGCACATGGTAAAACAATGACTTTAATTATCATAAAGGCACAAGAAAGTACACTTTAATGTTGAGTTTACACCCAGCAGTGTTTTATAGGTTGTTGTATTTTCTTCACCCCTGAACAAAGTGTCTTATTCAGAGATCAGGCCACTGATCTAATATATTTAGGAACAGCTCTAAGTAATCTAATACCTCCTGATGGTCTCATGGTTCTACTTTATTGCTCCTGTTGTGTTCGTCCTCATTAGAAGAGAGTCTCTTCCTATACAAACAGCTGTGAATGGACGGGGAGGAAGCCCACAAACATAGGAAGTGAAACTTGGAAGACCTGATTAAAGATTAGCTACATCCAGTTGTTTTTCCTGGAAAAATTTAAGGTCCCTTTTGAAGCCGTTAATGGCCTTCGCATGGCAACGCACTGGAAAACAAGCTTGCAGAACAAAAGAGTGCATTTCTTGAGCCTCCTCTCGTGCCTCTGTGTTTGTGTTTGTGCTGAACAGTAGAGCGGCTGTCGCCTGCGAAAGAAAACATGGAGCTCCCATCAAAAAAGGAGGAGAAAAAGGTACGTTGGAGCGATTCCATTATTACCTAAAGAGTTAGGAAATGTTATAAAGTGCACATTTCTGATACAACAAATGCAAATCTACTCAAATTTTTAAACTTTTTTTTGTCTAGATGAAAGCTGCAAGAGCCAAGTTTAACTTCAAAGCTCAGTCACCCAAGTGAGTTGATGATACGATAAATGACTATTTTTTTACACCATTACGAGAATCCTTAAAGTAACTGTGTTCTTCTCACTCCGTTCAGAGAGCTGACGCTGCAAAAAGGCGACATCGTTTACATCCACAGGCAGGTCGATGCTAACTGGTTTGAAGGGGAGCATCACGGACGAGCCGGTATTTTCCCCACTTCTTACGTGGAGGTGAATTATTCCGTCCCTTTCATTCGCGCACGCTCAGGTTACAAATCCTGAGCTGCTCGAGTAACAAACAACCCACGTCGCCCTCAGATTCTGCCTCCGACAGAGAAGCCGACACCTCTCAGGTCGCCGACCCTTCAGGTGCTGGAGTACGGGGAAGCTGTGGCTCTGTACAACTTCAACGCTGATCTACCTGTTGAACTGTCTTTCCGTAAAGTGAGTGACTTGTACTTTTTAATGGCTCACAGCAGAAACAGTCAGATGGATTGTTTTTTCTGCTTAATGAATCCATTATTTAATTTAAAGAGAGTACTTTCAAAATTTTTATGCATTTGGTTGGATATTTCCTTACTACTTTTAATTGTTTGGATATTTGATTAAATACTCAAACCTTTTCTCTTTCCAACATCTTTATAAAAAGACTGAAATTGTGTTACAAATGTGGAGCAACTTTTTAATTTCTCAGGCATAAAAAGTAAACAACTTGGGTTTGCAACAAAACCCACCCACCAGTGTTGTTGAAACTCATTAAAAAATCATGTGCTGTTCGCACAAAGTGATCAAAACTACTTGTTGTGTGAAGCCGCTCTTTTTCCTGGCAGGGATGCAGAAATCATTTTGAGCAGCACTAATTGGCTGCTAATTGGAGCACTGAAAGTACACTTTGATGAGATGTGAATGTATTCTTGTAAAATAGTATCTTTAAAATATACAAACAGTTTAAAATTAACACGTTTAAAACAATTTCTGCTGGACTTACAGGAGCTTCAATTAGAGACACACTAATATTAAATCTTGGTTTAATATTTTCTCTTTCGAACTTTAAATTAAAAGCAACACCAATCACAAAGCAAAAGTAAAGAAAAAATCTCAGATTCAGAGATCTAAGGATTTTTTTGTAAGTCAATATTTTGCTAAATTATGGTTCTGCTGTAAATATTCAATAGAAATGGTCAAGTTTTATATTTAATGAACTGCATACCTGCAACAAAACTTTTGGGCTCAATAATACATTAAAAAAGACGGTAAAATACAGTGTGTAAAACAAACAAAATAAAATAAACCCAAACAGTCTAAAGGAATGAAATCTTACATTTCTTTATTAACTGATTCTACTAAACTTAAGTTGTTTTAATTTAAAAATTAATAACTATTGGAAGTGTGTATTTGTTCTGGGGTGGCAGTGAATTCAAAAGGTTTGTTTTCTAAAAACACATAAAACAAAAATCTTCAAGTCTGTTACAATAGCACCCTCTAGTCTTGAAAGTAAAGTATGTGCAAATATACTAAATCTTTAATCAAAGGATGAGTACATTTTAATCAGTCAAATTAAGTTGAATTCAACTTGCCGTGTTTATTTTGCTGTAATATTTCACACTGTTGGTCAAATATAACAAAGCCTGCTTACTTTGACTGTTAAAAATAACTAGAATGTTAAATTTAATATTAAAACGTCACATAATTCTGTGTATCGCATATGACGTGCATGAACAACAATCACACAAAATATTATTTGAAAGAAGAGTATCAACAGAAATCACAATAAAGGAGCACAAAAAATCAAATTTGGAGAAAGAATATGAAAAACAGAAACAATACTTTGGAAAATTATTATGGATGCATCAATATGAAAATTTCAGCCGATATCAATATCCAATATTATTTCTGATGTTATAACCAATATTTACCAATATTACACAAACACACAAGTGATTACACTTGCATCTTTTATCGATACTGTAAGAAAATGACCAGACCGCTGATATTGCTCTCTACTTCAGTTTTTCCTGCACACACTAACACTATCATGATCAAACAGATACCACACAACGAACCATTTCTCCTCCCAAAACAGAAACACAAAGGCTAAAAACTGGGAAATCAATATTGGATGTTAATATCGGCCCAATTTTATTATTACAATACCGATATTCTAAAAAAAGACCAATTTCGGCCGATTCCGATGTCAATGCTGATGTATTATACATACCTAAAAACTACTTCCTTTTTTATTTTGTTTGTGTTTATTTTCTGATATTTTGTTAAAGTTTTGTTACTGCTAGTGAATCACTTCGATAAAACCTGAAAAAGCTGTTCCTTCTCCTTCAGGGCGAGGTGATCTGTGTAACCAGGCAAGTTGACGACAAATGGTTGGAGGGCAGGATCTCTGGGACGAGCCGGAGCGGCATCTTCCCCGCCAGTTACGTCCAGGTCAACAAGATGCCCCGCACCAAATTCTCCACGGATGACTTCCCACCCAGCCCCTTGTCTCCCACCTCCCCTGGACCGCAAAGTCCAGGACGGCCGCTGCACACCCCGCTCTCTTCCACGTCCCCGGGCCCCAGACCCGAGCACTCCCCAGCTAAACTGTCCTCACCTGTTCCAGCCTCACAGCCACGCTCCCCCACCCAGATCCACAACCGTACCCCTGACAGCATCTTCAAAACAGTTTCTCCCAGCAACCAGAACAGCCACGTGTCTGTGCCGCGCTCTGCCGGCCTGAGCTCCACAGTTAGAGCAGGTTCCTCATCGCCTGCGCACAGAGCCGGAGCCCCTGCAGCCAGCAGATACACTGATCCCCCACAGGTCTGCTCTCACTCCCACCCTGACAGTCACAGCATGTCCACACCTGCGCTCTGCCTGTTTGTGCTCACAGAACACGGCTCGTTATTTGCCATGATCTAACGCCTGATAAGAAATATTTTTTATTATTTTTTCCCCCACCAGATTGCTCCCTCTAATCCACACATCAACTCACAACCACAGAGAAGTCCTGGTTCGTCAGCGGTGCAACGCCAACCGTGCGTGTCTTTCTCACCTGGCTTAAAAAAAATTGCAGCTTCAGCAAAACTCCCGCTTTGACACACTTGTTTTCTATTTCAGGTATAAAGCTATTTACAACTACATGCCACAGAACACAGACGAGCTGGAGCTCAGGGAAGGAGACATCGTACACGTGATGGAGAAATGTGATGACGGCTGGTTTGTAGGTAATGAGTTTTGGCTTTAAAATAGCTTGAAAAAAAGTAAATATCTTTCTGTGGATTTATTTTTTTAGATGAAATCAAGGTTATAGTTTTGGGTTAAACTATTTCAGCCCATCACTAAAACACAGATGTTTAAACATAATTCTGTAGAGACCTTAATCTGCAACCTCTCAGAGAGGGATTGTGCCTTGTTTTGATGATCAGGTCGCCCTCTAGTGGACACAAAAACATTGCACTTATTACAGACAGCGTCCAGTTGCTAAATAAATAAATAAAATAAAGGTTTTGCCCTAGTCTGTTTGGGACCTAAATCTCTAATGAACCACTGGATGAATTTAATAAAACTTGCAGAAAATCTTCATTTCAATTGATTAACTTTTGGAGTAAATCTGACTCAAAACAGCTATTACAACTTTAAAATATCTCCAAAAAATAAAGTTAAAAATCTGTAAATTTTACAAACTTGAATTTATTTTAGGTGAGACTGATGCACAACATGTAGTTTAAGTGCTACAGCTTGTACAAAGTCTTTGTTTAAAAGTTTGTTATTAACTATTTAGAGTCAACTCTGTCTGTTAGCAAAATATGCCATGAAACACTAACGGTTTTAATGAAACCTTTAGAATGCAATCATTGACAAATGAATGACTGGATCCATAATTTGTTTCTGCTGATGTGTTTTCTGCTCTCTGCAGGTACGTCAGAACGGACTCGTGATTTTGGGACTTTTCCTGGGAATTATGTGGCACCGGTTTGACTTCCTCACTTCACTGCCTGCCACCGTCCATCGGGACTAACATGAGCCTATCAGACGAAAACATCTCGGTCCTGTTTTAACTTAGCGACGCCTGCATGTTCACATAGGGAGGAACAAAATGTGGTTTCACTCCTCACCTCCCTGCATGTTTGTGCACCTACACAATGTGTGTGTTTGTGTTTGCACAGAGTGATCGGAAGAGAATTTTTGTACAAATAACGCGAGAGGAACAAATAACGCTGATGTGACAGTTTTACATGTCCATGATGATTTTTTTTTTCTTTTTACCACAACTATTTGCAGCTGCAGGAAGTTTGCATTCCTTCCCACAGAACACCACGGTTCCCTCAGAGGTTCTGATCCGGCTCACTGCTGCACTCAGCTTGAAGTTGTCACAGTGCCATCACATACCACTGCTGAGAATTAGGAACCGAACCAGGATTACTGTGTGAATGCTGAATGAGCATGGATATGATTGGATTTTTGCCAACCCTTTGCTACACTTAGCTTTTAGTTATCCTGTTGCTACTTTTAGTTTTAGATAGCCTTTCACTACTTCTAGCTATCCTTTTGCTACTTCTTATTAGCGTTTTCCTACCACTTTGCTGCTTCTTTTTAGCTTTTTGCAACTTTTTGTTGCCATTTTGCTTCTTGTTATTAGCCATTTGCTACTATTTTACTATTCTCATTAGCCTTTTGCTACGTTTAGCTACCATTTTGCTACTTTTCATTAGCCCTTTTGAATTATTTTGCTCATCATTAATCCCTTTTCTACTTTTAGCTTATGTTTTGTTACATTTAGCTAAAATTTAGCCTTTTCAGCATTAAGAAAGCATTTTAATTGTAAAGCCAAAGCTTGCATTCTTTATTTTAAGATTTGAGATTTTAAGCTCCTAGTGTGCTTCTTCTACTTTAGCTTGTGTTCTGCTTCCTTTAGCTTCTAGGTTTTGTTTCTTTTAAACATTTTATAACTTTCACATTTTAGTGTTCTGCTTCTTTTAGCTTTGACAACTAATTTTTTTCTTCAGCAAATTTCGGCAAAGTAATTCAGCACTCAGCATTCACACTTCCTTTTTACACACAAAAATACACTGTCTCTATATTTACCTTTAGCATTTTGTTGGGTTAACAATGTTTATTTTGAAATATTTCCCCCAGATTTTCTTTCAGATCTTTGAAAACTCCTGCAGCAGCTTTTGAAGAAACCACACAAAGATCTGAACATTTACAGTGAGGGCTCAAACATATCAAGAAGAAACACATGTTCTGGTTTCTGGAGTAAGATATTTGTTGTACAATGTTAGGATTTATTTTTTAAACTAAAGGCGAGGCCTGCCAATAACAGTAAAAACATGCTCTGTGCTGTGAAATATTTTTCTATGCTTTTGTATAAATTGTTGAGCCTCTGTAAATTTTACAACAGCTGTGTTGAATAAATTAAAGTAAGTAATTTCAGCAGATGGTTAAAAAAGAAACAACGAGGAGACTGAATTCATGCTGTTTGTGCCAAAATGAACCTGTAACTCCACACGTCTGTTCAGCTGTTCACATTGTGCTGCTTTTACAATAACTTCTCCCTATATGAGATTAAACGTTTGAAAACAGTATTTAAAAAAGGAAACCTTTTATGTTTGTGCCAGAGTACTTTGAAAAGTTTGTAACACTCACTAGAATGCTTCATTCATATTTTATTTTAAAGTGACGACTTCACTGTAAAAACGACTCTAATACAGCAGCCACAAAAGATGATTGTACAGATTGTAACGGTTTGTAAAACTGAAAAGATAATATATATTTGCAAAAAAGAAACAGCAAAGAATGGTTTATTGCATATGTATGGTACGCAATTTATATAAGAATATATTAAACATTACATAATGACACTGCATTATATGTTGCTGTTTATTGTGTTGCATGGTATATTAACAAATACATAAACACATGTTAAAGATTGGGGGTAAATTGTGAAAACTTGTCAGTGACATCAGTTTAGCTGTCAAACATTAAAGGGATAGTTCAGATTTTTCATCATCATCAACACTTATCATCTTACCTGCTGTAGACAGCACTTTGAGCAACTTCACTTTAGAGAAAAAGAGTTTTATTTTAACCAGATTGAAGAGCTAATAATGGCTGTCCCGATAGGATCAAGACTAAAGAGATTTGCATTTGTATTATAAACCATTTTCAATCTGATACAGTCATAAAGACAAGGTTGATTTTACGCAGAAATTTAGACTTCAAGGAAGTGTACAGTTGTAACAATGAGGGCTGCGATCCATTTGGTAGAGGCTCTGCTTGTGAACAGCTGCAGAAGTGGAACACAGCCCTCATTAACGCTTTCCCTACTTTCTCCAGGCAAAACCTCACCTTTACAGTCAGTTGTCAGCTTTTCTGATGGAATTATTTTTAAATCCTTGTCAAAAGTACCGGTACATTGGAAGTACCTGTACATTGGAAGTACCTGTACATTGAAAGTTGAGAAGTGACGCAGCCAGCTGCTGCTGCTGCTGCAGCTGTTTGAGCTTTCAAGTAATCACATAATTTGATTTAATGCAAAATTTACAGTGGTGTACAGGTTTATGAATTAAATAAGATGAATTAAAAATAATTAGAGGTGAAGCATTCTTATCGCCTGCAGCCTTTTTAGAGTTTTAAACATTATAGACATTATCTTAAGCGGAGAAGGGGCAGTGTTGTAGCAGGTTTGGTCAAACATCATAAATGGCTTTATATATACAGTATAAAAATGCAAAATCTTGCAGAAGGGGTTAATGTTCAGAGTGTGTCATTGGGATGTCAGCTACTATATGCAATTTAGCTCAGTATTTGTAAAACTTGACTGCGGTAGCTTTATTTTTTTAAACTTTCATAGCTGTGGAAGTCATCTTGAACTGTGCTGGCTCTAAACATTTGATCAGATGCAGAGACACGTGATTGTTTGCTGAAATTTTCTTCAAAATCCATTCAGTGGTTCATCAGATATTTGCTAACAGACAGAGACTACTCCAATAGTTAATAATAATAATAATAAAACAGATACCATTTAGCGCTGTGTGTAGGGAATCAATCTCCACTACTAAATTTTAGCTCATTGTTTATTCAACAACAACAACAACAACATCTAAATTTTAGACATTTGTGTTTATTAATGGTTGTCAGTTGAACTAATTGTTGATAACAATTAGCATATTAACTAACAGGGCAGGCATCTATATGTTATTTTAAATGTGAGTTAATGGAGACTTTGTCCTTTTTTTTTTTTAAAGAAAAACGAACCCTAAAATTAGCACAGTTTTAAGTTTGTTTACCTTTTCACTGATACGCTGGACGTTTAATTAGCGACCACACACACACCTGTGACAACAGGTGGACGCTGCTTCTCTTGATCAAACGGCCTGCCGCCGCGCGCTGCTCCTTCTCCGTCAGCAGGTGGCGCGAGGACACAAAGCTCAGGCCAGGCCTCGTTGGATCATTAGTTCAGTAATCTCCCTCTCCTCTCCTTGAGACGCACGACACGCCCCTGGTTCCTGCTTGCGCGTCAACTCCTTTATTTTGGTTACGGGCACATGGCACCGCGAGCTCACCCCTGAGTACCGCTCTGCGCGCGCAGTCCAAGGTGGCATTGGCGCGTGCCATCTTCAGGTTTGACACGACAGAAGAAGGCTGGCAGAGAAGAGACAGAGGAGACCTGCTCTAAATTATTCTGTTTTTGTTTGTGTTTTGGAGAGAAGTTGTTGACAAGCTGAACGAGTTGTTTTTTGACGATAAAAACAGGAACATTAAGCAGGTGGAGAAATCAAAATCACACTCAAATCAACTTGGTGAGTATCTTATTTTAAATGTTATGGGTTTTTGTTTTACCAGGCATAATTCATTTTGAAAGTTTAGTTTATGAAGCACAATTCTTCTTCATCACTTTAATTTATTTCTGTGTCTGTAATTTTTTTATGGAAGGGACTTTGAGTCATGCCTAACTTTATGGACCCATAAAAAGTGTGGGAATTTTAGAAAACACAGTTATCTGTGTGAACTGATTGGACCCTTTTTTTAATCTGTTTTTGACTTGTGTTGATAGAAAAGAGAAAACTAGAAGTCAGACTAGTTTAAATTCAGACAGGGAAGTCTTCAACACCTACTGTGCTGATTTTTGTTCAGGTTTCAGGAGGCCAGGGGAGGATTTCATTCCTTCTCTTTTGCTCATTAAGCAGTCAGTGTGATTTGTGGAGGGGCAGAGCCAGGTGCAGCCTTCAGAAGCTCTTAACATCTGTCCAGCTGCATTTTTCTCCCCCTTTTCAAAGTGGCCTGTTAATGATGATGACTTTGAACTTGCTACTGAACTTGAGTGAGGCACTGCTTGCCTTGCATTTTCCTTTAAATGTTTCTATAAGGATACTTCTCTCTGCTGTAGCTCACTGAAGTCTTCATGAAGAGCTAAATGGAGGAAGGACCCAGCAGATGGGAAACCACTTGAGTTGTTTCAGAGCACAGTGGAACCATCATGTTCTCAAATCTCCAGCGTCTGCTGTTTGTATTCTCTATTGTGTCTGGCAGCCTTTCACCTTCCACCTACCCTGCTCCTGTTATATGAGATGCTTTACAGCTTCTTTTATCCAGTAAACACCCTGGAGAAATCTGCCCAGGAACTAAAAACAGACCATTGTAATTTTGGACTGAGCAAATCAGGAGCTTTTTAGGGAAAACGTCGTGGTTTTTATTTTTAGCCTCTGCTGGGTGAAGGTGTTCAAATGAAACACGTTTTGTCTTTCTGAGCTTTTTGAATCTGTCACACAAAGGAAGTCCTCATTACCTGTTGGGTCAGTTACAGCAGAGTAGTGTTTTGACCAGCTTGCTTCGCTGCTCTGCGAGGTTCAGGATGTTTTACAGTTTTGAGTGTGCTTGCTGCTTGTCACAAGAAAAGCAATGCTGTGTGGAGAGGATGTGGCGAGATGACCTGATTGTTAAGAAACGGTTCCCACAGACGAGTGTTTGAACTGTTCTGTTGAAAGCTATACGTATGAAGAAAGTAAAGGAAAAGAAAAAACTTTCACCGTTTACGAGTCTCGCTCGAGGGGGAAAACCTGCCAAAAAGGGATGTTGTTTACTGTTTGTTTTGTTTTTACAGCAGTAGAGAAGATTACAACTATGTTTAAATTTATGTTACAGGATGAAACATCCTCTATTTTCTCCCTTTTTAAAAAGGGAGTAACCCTCAAAAAATGACAGGTATGTTTCTATTCATTACTGTTTCGATGACACATAAGCAATTAAACGTAGTTGCAACACAAAACAACACGAAAGCTCATGAACCAACACCCAGTTTGGCATCTCTTTACGTATTTTGTTATTGTTTGATGTTTTCTCATCACCTTAGGGATTGCAGGTAAATCCGAACAAATGGGTGTGATTTGGAGAACGTACATGAAGTTATTTCACTCCATTGGGTCCAGGGAGAGGCTTGTTTTTGCATTCTTCTGCTTTTTATTCATTGGGTGTGTGTCCAGGTAGGCGTTGAGCCATAGGTGCGTTTGGTGACGCACAGATTAGCGTCAACATTAGCAGACGGCCTCACTGACACGAGCTGTTTGCGCTGTGCGTCCAGCTAGAGTCCTGACAAGTGTGTGATTCATTCCAGGAACATTCCCCCCCGAAGCCACAGTGCTTCATTTTTGTGTTCCTTCACATCGAAGCTCAGACATATTTGAATCTGTGCATCTGCTGCTGTTTTAGTATCAACATGTTGGGGAGAGAGACGGTGCCTTTTTTCATTTAAGCTGAGCGCATTTTCATCTGGAGTTTAAAGAAAAATCTAAAAGTCCCAGTCAAGTTGCAGAAGTGGCCAGGTACTTTTTGTTATTCAGAGCTGATAACTTTTATCTAGTGTCATTTATTGGTGCAGAGCACTTGGTAAAAACTTGTTTTTCCACATTTCTTGCCATAGTTGTCAAAGCTGGCATAGTTAAACACAATAATAGTTTCCTGTAACCAGTGGTGGGCAGCACTAATCTAAAAATTAGTTCCACTAGCCCTAAAACACTTAACTCTATAATTTAGGTCCCCTAATTCTAAAGCACTAATGTAATGAAAGTTTAGCAGAAGCTAATTCTAAAGCACTAAAATAACCCAGTCAACCCATGAACATTCAGACAACATGAGTCACATGTTGCTCTCTGAAGACTTATCATTGACATTCCACAGCTGGATTTGGGTTCAAATATTGTCACCTGGTGGATCAGTGACACATATGAACAAAATGTGTGACAGTTTTCACCATCAGCTGTTAACATTATCATTGATCAATGACATTTATAGACCTCAGTTAGTGCTTCTAATGTTATTTTAGCCTATAAATTTAGCAAGTGCTAATCCACCAATACATTTTAAAATTAGGAAAAAAAACCTAAAGCACTAATCAGGAAATTAGTTCCCCTATTAGTGCTTTAGTGCTTTAGGGGAACTGTGCCCACCACTGCCTGTAATGTTTTTACATTCGATGGCTGGCTATCAAAGATTATTCTCCACTGAAACGGTTGATTTTTCTGGCAACAAACACTTGTGAAAATAATCACTGGTTGCTATGATGATGTGGAGTCTTGTCCATTAAAGTTAATGACTCATCAAGACTCTGTCATCGTAATTTTTGCCTTGCTGCAGTAAATTATATGCCCAGTTTGAAACTTGTTTGTAAGATTCACTTATCCAGCACAACCCGTAACTACACAGAAGACTGAAGAAGGTTGGAGTTTGGTGTCTGCATGTCTTATTGGCTGTCAGAAACAAACAAAAACATAACTGCAGAAAACAGTGATTAAATGTCTGGAGAGGGAGTTTTGCAGTTGTTTAGCTGATTACCTAATATTTTAGGGAAGTCAAAGTTCTGCATGTTTTAGTGGTTTACATGTGACTCTACCAAATACCTGTTTTTTTTTTCCTTCGCACCGCCTCGTTCTGTTTTTGCCTTTAGGGACGAGCTCTCTTAGACATGACAAGTGCCAAGGCGTCCTCATATTGAGTGTGTACACGGCAAGTTCAAACTTCACTCAAAGAGGAAAAATGTCCCTGTGGATACTGAAAAAACAGCGAAGAAAAGCTGTGTTCAGTGTCAGCTGGAAACTTTTACTTCCCTCTAAATGTCTGACAAGGGAAAAAAATACATACTTTGTCACAAAGTTTGATTTCTTAGTTTAGAACTTGGTAACATTTCTCTACCCTGACTTCTGTAAAGTTTTTATTATACTTTATACAAAACAGAGGAGTACTGATGTTCTTCTATGCCCGCTTTTTATTTCTTTTTATTACATGGTAGACTGAGCGTTTGTACCTGTGTGTAACATCAGCTTGTTTGAAATGTCATCAGTTATCATGCTGATACAGTGGCTGGCATGAGGCCCATTTATAGTGGTTTAAGCATAGTTTTGTGTTAACCATTAGACATTTAACTATGTGTAGCTGATCTAGTCATAAGACATAACTGTAGGTATGAGATACTAATTAACAACTAAAAAGACTAAATGCTGCTCTGCTCAACTTTATTTGGTCAAATTTCATGTGTAGTTTGAAGCAGTCTTTTTATGGTCTAAGGAAAAAACCTCATAAGTTTAAGTTCTTCACTTTCAGTACAACCTACGAGTGTTTCTTTACAGATGGCCCATAACACATTTACATGCAAATAAACATTTCTTTTACTTAAACACTTAAACACTCAGTCATCATTTACAAAAGCAAACCCAGTCAAGATGCATGAAATTCAAAATCAACATGCATCAACAACAAAATAATAGAAATCTGTGTGGTTGAAGGAACTTCTGTTTCTGTTGGTCCTAATAAGAGGTAACTCCAGTCTGAAGCCAGAGGGCAGAAAAACAAAAACTCAGTGTGGAGGATGATTGGAGTCAGACAGGATGGAGTCAACCTTCTTTTACCACCTGACATCTGAACAGGTCAGACACTGAACTCTGCTTTAAACCCATAATTTTACTACTCATTCTGACTGTTTTAGAGAGCAAGTTTTTGCCTTTAATGTTGGAATTTCAAACCAACAAGTATGAAAGAAAATCTTAAAACAAAGTTGATGTTGGATTTATAAAAAGCATAAAAAGTCCCACAAGAGCTTTATGAACATGACAAGGCTTACTAAGGTGGTGATGAATACACAGCTTGTCTAAATTTAGGTTAAACTTCAGTCTGATGTTGATTATGGTTCTAACTTCTACTTGCTCAACAACCTGCCCCTTAATGACTGTTCTGGCACTGGTGAAGTCACCGTCATTTACAGTTTGGTCATGGCTGACCTTATCACTCTGAAAACTGAATCATCAGCACATTTTAAGATAAAACAATCCTCCGATCGACTCTGGCAGTCGTTTTGATGTAGAGAATGAAAAGTAAATACCAAAGAACACTGAGAGGACTCCTGTTAAAGTTTCCTCTGGCATGCAACCATTTATTTGGCTCTGTTTGTTAAAAAGTCACAACTCCAGCCCACTAGATGAAGTTCAAGATTAAAATTCTTAAGTTTATCATATAAAATGGGAAGTTTAATTGGATTTATATCAGGTGAGATGTTTAAACAGTTGCCTGGAGTAAGTTTTGCCTTTTAAGATAGAGGAATGAGACAATGACATCTATGCCCTGTTTATATATGCAAATTATAATGAGAATACAAAGTGTCCTGGGTGGAGACTCCATACAAAAATATCTTATAGCTCAATTTGTCTACTCCAACATGCTTAGCTGAACAGAAAACAGAATCTAGTTGAAGTGGCATTGTTCTGCTATGAACATGAAACAAAAGTTTATTGGACAAAAAAAAAAAGAGAATAATTTGTTATAATTTATTTTGTTTTTGGATCGACTCAGGAACTTCTTTAATAACTTTTGTAAGCCCAGGTGATTTATGGTACTAATATGTGGACTTTTGACTCTTAAAATTCACCATTGACCAATAAGGTATTGTACCTGACTGAGTTATTACCACAGCCTTTCTTCTGACATCTGCAGCATTCCTTTATCCTAGTTTCACTACAATTTGTGTGACGCCTACAGTAAACATTTTCACAGAATTGGCAGGATGCATGGCTCATGCTAGTTGCTGTATAGGACAGGCTGCAAAGGCTCAAGGAACTAATTGACTCCCCCAAAGGCTGGGAAAGTTTGGGCCGGCCGCTCCCTGCCATTATCACAGCTGCACTTATTTCTGCAGGCCACTGCAATTAAGCTAGTCTGATGATGGTGAGCTCAGTAACCCTGTTCATTGGCCCAGACTTTTAATGACTAACTAGGTATGCACTGTTTGTCCCAAACATTTGTGGAATGTGCAGACAATGAGGTGAGAGAGTGGAGGGACAGCTGCTGTCCTGGATCCTTTGAACTTGGCTGTGATGTGATTTCCTTTTCAATAGTCAAATTAAAAATCTGGTCATTATCATTTGGAAGAAGCTCTAATAACTATAATTGGAGATGTTTGTATCTAATCATTTTGTCACAGTACTCCTTTTGTTAAAAATGGGTTGCAAATTAATGAGATGATTTTTTATTTTTGGGTAAAATGCATGTGAATATTTGTAAGATTATTTTAAAATATTTTGACTTGACTGGATTTACAAATAGAGTGCACTTAGAATAAAGAGTAGGAGGAAGTGTAGAGATATTTCTTTGCTATTTAAGCACATGTTTGCAGATAGTGTTTTGTAATAACAGAATCTCTGAATTTAAAAATAACCTGAATACCTTCATAAAATTCTCTGCTGTGTAATTTGCTTGTTTTATAGCTTCATAAAAGATACAGAATTATCTGTAATGACTGAGCTCTTGTGAATTACGTGAGACAAAAATAGTTGAATTTGGGAAGTCTCTTACAACAGAAACAAACAAAAAATGGTGCAAAGGAGGCAGAAGGTCATGTTACGATAACTTAGTTCTTCTGTAATCCAGTGATGATCACCTTGTCAGAGGTTTTTATCGAGGGAACAAGCAGTAACTGTAGGGATGTGCTGTTTTCTGATTCATCTATGGTACTCTGGCTTGCAACCATATATCCTTAGCACAGAAAGTGTCAACGTTTGTGTTGTGTTGATTATTTCTTTGTTGTAACAATGCTTCCTGGCAATAAAATTTATAACGAGCATGTGATTGGCAGCACCTGGGGTGGTTACCAGCAGCTCAAAACAAGTGTCGATAGCAGCTGCAAAATGAGCTGATTGACAAGGCCGGTAGAGCAATCCACATACTCTACAAATGTGGCACCATTTAAAAGGGAAATTAACAGGCTTTCCAACAGTATAAGGTCTGCTACCAAGAAGCATTGTTACAACATAGAAATAATCTACTAAACACAAATGTCCTAACTTTTTATGCCAAGTACTGTATAATCCGAACTACAGAACCAAAAGCTGTAAGTTGAGGTCACAATGGACAAGACTACCTGTCAGTACAACTCCTCAGTTCTATTTAAATCCCTTTTAATGAAGTACATTGCTGTGTTCACCAGGAAAATGTAAGATTTTCCATGTTTAATTTACATAAAAACCTATAAAAATTGTTTATTTTGCAGTTGCAATTATAAATTTATAATGTTTATGTAATAATTCCCAAAAGGTTTTTGTAACATACTAAAAATATCAGTGGACTTATATTTTCAATAAATGAATAAAAATGAACAGAAAAAGGCAACAACTTAACGTATAGCTCCAGCTGTTTGCATTATCAACACAGATTACTTAATTGTGATTTTTACACTACTTTGGAAAGGCCTACATATTGTTAAAATTTAAGCTGTGCATTTATTTTGAGAAGTTGTTGTAAAACTTTGAAAATCTGCTCCATTGTAGTCAGTTTTCTTTGCGTGAGAGAATTGGTCTATAATTAAAATAGCTTATAGTTTGGTTTATGAGTGCACCTATGTATTACCTTGTTACTGTAGCTGACATGAAAGCACATTTACCTGATCAAATAAGGTCACAGGACAGCTTCATTGGTGTGTGTTTAGACTGTGCAGGTGTTGATGCGTTTGCAGTATTTATCCATCATCACAGAGCTCAGTACACGCTGTAGTACAACAGGTATTTTTTATCCACAAGTATTCATGGGCTGAGGAAACTGACAGCTAAATTACAGGTTGTAGTCAAAGGGATGAAGCATTCTGATGCTTTAAACTATATTCTGCTCTGGTTTAAAACCATTAATGTATAAGAAAAAGGTGTAAACATGTTAAATGTCAAAGTTCAGCTGATCAGAATTTTATGAACACCAATAGAAACTTTTTCTCACTTCACAATTTGTAAAGAGATATCAGATATCTATTTGTTGTTACACAATCACATTTTTATATCTTACTGATAGTGACTTTATTATTTGGTCATGCTATTTATGTCAGAGTTGATAGCATGTCTCCAACTTATCATTATTTGAAGGGAGGAGAAAAGGAGTTTAGAATAAGCAACAAGAAGTCAGATATTTGTTTTATTATGTCTACTTGAGCAAATCCAAAAGTTCTCACGAGTTTCTTTATAAAAATATCTGCCTGCAACACACCATACTGTATATGCTGTCATCAGTAAACAGTTTTAAAACATGTACAATTTTAAAAACTTTATTCTCTGCAGTAATTAAAGCTCTTTCTGGTGGATTTGTCTCTCATCTTTTGTTTCCTGCAACTTGGCCTAATGTATGATTCACAGAATAATTAGAGACCTATATGATTTGATTAAACTACAGTAGAGCTAAATATGAAAACAAATATTGTGACGTTTTGGTGAGTTTTCCCAACACAGTCTCTGCACTCACGAATATTAATTTCCTCGTCTCAAATTTGAGAAACTGAACCATCATTTTTGACAGGTCTTGACTCCATAATTCTGCAGTAATTTGAGTTTAAATACTTCATTTATATTTTAGCGCAGACACACATCAATGCTATTTGGAGAAAGGATAATCTGTCAACAATTTGGCAAACCCCACCATACAAATTTCTGAACAAAGTTTTCTCTATGACCTGACTCTCTTTTTGTCTCGAAGAGCTCCCATATGTGATGGATGCCACATCTTAATCCTCTAGTGAACACATTTAACCTCAACGTAACATGTAGCTCCTTCTGCCCTGTGTTCACGCGAGTTTTGATTTGTTTTCGTTGTCTTGAAGGAGCATTTGGATTTAATGAAACTTTGGGATCTGCAGCCACTTAAGCAATGTTAGTCATGTGTCTTTGGTTTCAGATTCCTCCCATGACTCTTTGATGTGGTTGCTCAATGCATGTCAGAGAGACTCAGACCAGTCAGAGTGAAATGATGCTGGAGATGAAGGGAAGCTCATGCAAAGGCTCAGTCTTCACCAGCTGCTCTAACGTTAAATTGAGCTGAGAGAAACGTGTGACTGAAAACAGAGTCCCACACACATTTACATTTGTTGTCTCACTTATGATAAACTTCATGTTTACTGTCTTTTTCTCTTTTTTTCAGGTTTTTGACTCAAGTGTGTTAATCTGATCACTAAATGGCACTGAGAGTGAACCTGATTGGTCCCTCGCCGTGGGGCTTCAGAATATATGGAGGACGAGACTTTAAGAAGACCATAATTGTCACCAAGGTACTTGTGATCAAAAGCTCCTTTTTTTTCTCTCAAACTTGTCACATCTTAAACTGTACTGTATTCTTTTTTATTAAAATAGTTTATAATGAAGTGAAAACTGAAGCCGACTTCCTTACTACTACTTCTTGTTTTTTGTTACATTTTTTGCTGTGTAATGCCTGTTTTTGACTGCTGAGCCTGTTTGTGTGAAGTGGAAGTTGATTGCATTAAAAGGAAACCACTGATTAAAGTTACAGATAAGCTTCAGTGAAGGTTTTATGATCTTTAGATTTTGAGTGTCTTTTTAGGTTTAATTTTTTGTAACACCACCCACTTATTGCTACTTCTACCACTACATTTTTTGCACATTTTTAATGACCTTGTTTCTCAGGCAGTTTTCAAAAGACGGATGGAAAAGGAGACCTGGAAATATTCCATAGCAGGCAGACGGTGTGCAGTAAACAGAACCAGGAAACCTTGCTTCTGTGTGACAGAGACACCCTGACCTGCCAACAGCACATCCTAGTCTCTCAACACCATCTCATGCATTTTTTCACTCTCTGCAGTGGGATTCCCAGAGAAACTCTTGAGACCATTAAAATAAAAAAAATATGGCCAAAGCATTGCAGAGGAACATTGAGCCTCATGCAAGAACATGTTTGTATTCTTATCCTAGATTTCTCCTACTTTTGTTCATACGAAGGGTTCGTACGAACATGTCACGTCACATTCAACAAACTCTTCTATCTTCAGGAAAAGTGTGTAAATGAGCTGCGTAAATTCCACCTGTTCGTATCCAGCTGCTCGTGCATGCGGAGAGGAGATTAGCATAATTACCACCCCAAAAACACCATATAAGGCTATGTTTCCTGCCTCAGATATCAGGAAGTGTCCATTCATGAAAATGACAGCGAAAAGTAAAAAGAACAACTTTACGAGTTCGGAGTTTGAAGTCCTGCTCTCCGAGATAGAGAAAAGAAAATCTGTCATTT